TAACATATAACTTTTGATGATCTTGAGAAATTCTAAAATTACACATATATGAGAATCACCCCACCTAGTAATTTTTTACTTGTTTGAATTCTTCAATAATGAAGCCCTTACTCTCCATAAACAATCAGAGGTATGGTTCAAACATTCACATACAAAAATGCTTGTTTAGACTCAGCCACAAAATAATTTTGATGAATCTTCATTGCATAATGTTTTAATGCATTTTTCACATCTTCTTTACTGTCAAATAACAAGCTAACGAATAAAGGATCTCCTTCAACCTATGAATTATCTTCTTGAGAATGTTTTTCTTTCATCTGTTGATCAGTATGTTCCTAATTAATATACTTATACTGTGGAGTAACATTCCAAAAAGGAATTACAATCTCTCTTACATTATATTTTGTGAAAATCTTTAACATTAATATTAACATAATTAATTAAAAACAACAAAATTTAAACATTATTCCACATTACCTCCTACTATTTCATCTTCTTGTATATTTAAGTTGGAATCAAACTCGCCCTCAATATCAATAGAAGAAGAACTGTTTAACGAAATATCGCTTTCATCATCTTTATCACTATAACTATCATAATCTGAGTCTTGATTATCTTCATCAACATAATTCTTAATTCCTTTATTGCAACAAATTTATAACTTTTAATTCTAACAAATACATATATTAATAAAATAATTTTTAAAGTATTTAATATTACCTTCATATTAATCACGATTCATAAAGAGTGTCATCATTTTAATGTGAAAGTAATAAATTTAAATTCATCATCTATAAGAGCACTGATGAACTTCTACCAACAGCAATATCCACATACAACTCAATAACATTTCTATTATATTGTTGTTGAAATGCATTTATCATTATCAATATCTTCATCATCATATATATTCAAAGCTGTATACTGTCTAATATTTTCATCAATAAAAAAACATGAAATTAATCTAGAAATAACTTGATTATAATCAAAATTAAGTTTCAAATAAAATTTTCTTTTCAAGGCTTCAAAACTTATTCCTCGCTTTATCTCAATAAATTTCTTACTTCTTTCAAACTCACTCCTTCATTTCTTTCATAAATTCTACCATTCCAATATATAATATAACAATTTCACTCATGCTGCATTTTTACAAATAAACTTTATTTAATATTTATTTTTTATAAAATAAAAAAATAAAATAATTATTCATTGATTAATCAATATATTTAATTGAAAATAAATTAACAATAATTAAATTCATACTTTTAAATTAAATTAGTAAAATAAATAAATTAAAACTAACCTGATTTCTCTAAAACTTGTTCTTCCTAAATGAAAATGAGAGGTGTGGTTATGATATATATAGGGTGATACATGTAAAGTAAAAGTTTCGTCATATTATTCACTTAATCAATTAAAATTGTGCCACGTGTCAACTCCATGTGAGTTGTGCAATTTTTATGGCAAAATTTACTCAGATCGTGACACATGTCATCATCTGAGAGTTTCGCATCGTCTATGATAAAATTATCTTTAATTTTACAATATTTATTACAAAATTACTAAAATGTTAATACGTGTCACAGTTTAATTATTTTGTGTTTCTGATGTCAAAATTTATTTTTATTTTTATTTTAAAAAATCAACATTTTCACTAACCATTTTGACGAAACATCATGCCATGTAGACCAAGTCTCTTCAGTTGGGGAAATAGTTTTAAAAAATTCATAATTAATTTTTTTAATTTATAATATTTAAACAAAAAATTTGAGAATAATTATTATTGATAATTTTATATAAATAAATAATAGAATTAGTAATTTATTGAAAAAATTAAATATTTTTAATTTTTAAAATAATACAAAATTATAATTATTATTTAAAATATATATAATATCCTTTAAAATTTAGAGATACAGTAAATAAATTTTTTTTCTACTAAATAAATAATAAAAGAGTGTCTATCAAGCGTAGCTATGGGTGGGCCTGACAGGTCAAATCCGCATGACCCGTTCAAAATAACGGATTTGATCAAAGGTTTTACACCAAAATGTGGACCAGGCTAATCCGTTGGCTTATTTTAAAAATAAATTATAATTATTTAATAGTTAAATATTATTTTTATTAATATAAAAATAAATATTATTGAAAATTTTATTTTTTATAAATTTTAATTGATTTTATGATTAATTTATTTTTATATTATTTTTAAGTGAGTCAGTTCATTAAGTTTTGTTTTTTTAGCTTCTGGAGGATTAATTCGATAATGCATTTAAATGGACTGAACTAAAACACTACTTAATTAAGATAGAAATAGGTATTGTAGACCTTTTTACTTTATTTGGAGGATAGTTAGCATATTTCAGTTAAGTTCTATGAATTATTTACATTAAAAATTTTGAAAATAAAAATTCAGTTTTTTTTTTTGCTTTAATATACAGTGACAAATGTTTATACCCCTTTCATAATTGTGTATTTACATTTATTTTATCCCTTCTTACGCATTTATTTTTTAAAATATTATATTCTCACCCACATTTTTTGTGGGTAAATTTTAGTTTTTGATGAACTTATTTATTATAATTTATATCATCCATTTTTAAATATAAAAAATGTAATTTTATGAGTTGGTGAATTTTATTTTTATGGTATTTATTATTTTTTTTCTATTTTAATATTAACTAGTTGTAATATTAATGTGTTACACGGATTTATTTTAATTTTAAAAAAATAATTTTAATATAAAGTATGTTAAATAAAATTATTATATATTATAAAATAAAAATATATGATAAATAAAAATTTAGTAATTGAGATGAAAAGATGATTTTTTATTTTTTGTAAATATAAAATTATTTTTACAAAAACTAAAACTTAATATTGATAGTAAAAATTGATTTTATCATAATTTTGTAGTATCTTTAATTTTTTTAAATATAGTACAGGTTTATTTTTTATTATGATTAAAAACATTGATAATAATAATTTCAGTGAGCTGTGGTTAAAAATAAAATATATTAATTTTAAATATATCAAGGTAGTTTATTTATTAATTTATATGTAATTATAGTGCTATATTGAATTTAAATATAATAGTCACTGACTTTTTTACTCCCGAGATAAAGGATCCAAATCTGAGTTTCTACCTATTTGGAGTTTCCTTCTCTCCTTGCTAAGAGCTTCTTTCATGGTGAGAATCTTTTTCTTTCTTCTCCTTCACTCTCCTTTCACCTTCACCATCTTCGTTAACTCCAACTCATTCTTGAGGCTGCTTTTAGTAACCCTTTTCTTTGCCTCCCTCCTGTCATCCCCTTTCAATTAAGATCCATTCTTAATTTTCAAAATTCAACCCACCTCATCTATTTAACTATTTATATTATTTATTTAATAATTATTATTATATATTTTTCATCTTTAAAATATGATAACTCTTTTGTTTTAGTCTCTATAAACATATTTATTTTTAATCTTTGCACATAACAAAAATATATATTAATTAATTTTTATTTAATAAACTCTTATTAACGATGTGAAATTCATTGAATTATGAGTAAAAATAATTTATGAAAATTCTTTTTTTTTTTTATAAATTCTTCCAAACACTTTAAAAAAATAAATTTATATAAAAATATATTAGAGTTTAAAAAAAAGTGTTCCAGAGGTTTCTCTTACATATTATACAATTAATTCATAATGACATGAACCATATTATATAAACCACCGAAGGGGAATGCTACCAGGGAAGGCTGAACATAGGAATAGCTGATCTGAGTGACCAGTATCCCGCCAAAGATCTAAAGGGTCACTTTCCCTGTCCTCCACTACCTTCCCTTTAGGCTTTAGGCCTATACATAAATATATCACATTATTCGTGCACCTTCCACTTTATTCTTGAAGGTAAGGACACTTCCTGCAAGTTTCTACACTCTTTCCCTTTTCTTTACTTCATTGCAACTGTGAGTTCTCTATCGCTATCTTATGTTCTCCTATCCATGCAACTTTGTTTTTGCCATTTTTTTCTCATAATTTTGGATTGAATACAGTTTCTTATATTTTATATTATCATATTGTGTGTCACCTTTGCTAGCTTCTAGATAGATGAGATCCAATATTAATTTGTCTTTTCGATTCTTTTTTCCACACCCAGTTGGCCAATATTCCATTTTCCTGAATTTAATACTATCTCTACTTATATAATTCAAAGGGAATTTTGTTCATTAAGATCAACTCTGTATATGGAAACAAGCAAATGATTCTGGAGGAGAGTAATAGGATGCTTTCGCATTTTGCAATTAGCATATTTAGAATAATAACTGCAACTGCAAGTTCTAACATATTTATTTATTGTTATTGTTATTGTTATTATTTAAAAAACTTACCCCCAATAATTACTTTTGTCCTTGTTTTGATGAAGGGATTTAACTCCAACTTTGTACCTGCCCTGCAGACACCATCTTACTCTAATATCTTGAAGCATATGTAGCCGTTTATAAAAATTCAATAACCAGTGATATATTAGATGCTCACAGATTTAAATAATTTAGCCGTTTGAATAATTTAAAATAAATGTAAAAAAAAAATTGATCAAAATATTTTACAGAAATGTTTCTACATTTTTAATACACATAATGTTGCTCCAAATGTTTTTCCTCTTCTTTTCCGGAAAATTAAATTGGTTCTTGGTTGATATAAGTTATTATATGAACACAACAGTTAATTTTACATATCAATTGAAGTCACCAAGCCCTCTAATTGAACCATTTTAGTGGAGTATTTTATAATGAAGTCAAGTGGATTAGTTACTACAACTATTCTAATGGAATCTTGATGAGCCTTGTGTCTTAGTTTTTCATTGTTCAAGCCTACAATATTATTACAATGTTCAAACCTTAGCCTGTGGTTTGTTTATATGTCTGCTTTCTTTCAATTTGATGAGTTATAGAACATATTCATGTTAATAAAAATAAATATCTCTATTTGGATTCAGGTGTACTAAAATCTCAGTTGTGAGTATGTCCACTGTGAGAGTTCCAACAGATTGTTTTCTTGGAGGTGCACCTGCTAGGAGATCTTGTTCTCTAATAAAGAGTCAATCATCTTTGGGATCTGTGAAAAACATATCTAAAGGATTTGGACTAAGATCTTCTTCCTTTAGAGTTTCTGCAATGGCTGTATATAAAGTGAAATTAATTGGACCAGATGGTGAAGAGAATGAATTTGAAGCCCCTGATGACTCTTACATTCTTGATTCAGCTGAAAATGGTGGTCTAGAGCTACCTTATTCATGTAGAGCTGGTTCTTGCTCAACTTGTGCTGGCCAACTTGTTTCAGGGTCTGTGGATCAGTCAGAGCAATCCTTTCTGGATGAGAACCAGATGGAGAAGGGTTATATTTTGACATGTGTCTCATACCCAAAATCAGATTGTGTGATTCACACCCATAAGGAGGCTGAACTCTAATTTAGTTATGTTATTTTAGAAGAATGAATGTCACTGTAGCATGCCATTATGATTTATGCTCTCACTTGGTGTTCACACAACCATATATGTCAATATATATTAGAAGATATCTTTTGCAGACCTTTCTTGCATGTAATAAAGGTTCCTTCTTTACATATTAGAATAATGGTTTGTTCACCAATATTTAACTTCCACAAATAGAAAAGCAATTTTATCAGATTAGAATGCGATTGTCACACAATTGGCAAAAAGTGGTATTGTATGAATTTTGAAAGTAATATAAAATTCTTCATAGTTGAAAGTAAACCTTCAATTATATGGATTAGTTGCAATGTCTCAACGTGTTTTTATCCCATCGTCAATAATTAAGATGATACTTCTCTAAAAGAAAAGGATGTATTTTAGAAGATAATGTGTATTTATAATTATTATTAAAAAATGAATTAATTATAAATTTAATTCCAATAATTAATTTTCTTGTCATACGTTTTGGTTAATGTTATATAAAAAATGTTTATAAATTAGTCCTTATCATTTATTAAAATTAGAATGGTGTTAAATTTAATTAATATATTAAATACAATTTTATGTTTAAATTTCTATACTTAAATTTTATTTAGGTCTTTCTATATAAAAACTCTACATTTAGGTCCCGGCACATAACATTTTTTGTTTTGATTCCTACATTAAAAATACACTAACACTATTATAATTTTAATATGTAATGGGAACTAATTTGTAAATATTTTTATCTAGAAAATAAAATTTAGACTTGTTTTACATAGTCTAAAAAACAAATTAAGTATATGGATTAAAATTATAATTTAACCTTAAAAATTAACGGCTGAAATTATGATAAAAGTCAAAATACATGCAGAACAAACTTTGAAGTTCATTATAATTTCAGCGGTTGATTTTTTAATAATAATTATTAGTGCATATTATCTTCTAAAGGATATATATTTTTATTAGAGTCATATCTCAATAATTATGGATTAGGAGGGAGAACTTGTGAATTTTGATGAACTTAATGTGAAAAGGCACGTAGCCTTTGCTAGTAACACTTCTTTTGTCCTCTTTCTTGGGTCTCCATTCTACTTTAAGATGACATGGTTGAAATGTTAGACTAAGGAAGACCGTGGAAGTATGTTGAACATAAAAAATATGGTTCTTACGAAATAAAACAAACACACAAATGCATATTTTAATAACAAAATTTAGTGCTCTTACAATCGAGAGCAAAACACATGTCTATTGGTGTGATGGTGACTTATAGGAGAATAAACTTGTTCCTTTCTCTAAGAGATAGGAAAGCCTCCCCAACTCAGATAACTGTTGCTTATAATGTTGTCAAAACCCAATTGATTAGTTCGACTAATTTAATTGTCAATAAGCCTATTGATTGGTCAGATCAAATCAAATAATCACTTTATTTAAGATAATTATTTTAGTATTCTTGTAAAATGTATTTCTTTAAAGCAAGACAATTTTGTTATTTTTAATTAAAATTTTAAAATAAAAATAGAAACTACTACTACAACAATAATAGCTATATAAATCACGAGACATTCTTAAATTTGATAAAAAATCAAATTCTTAAAAATATTATGTATGGAATTTTTTAAAAATTAAAAAATACTTAATGAAGAGAAAAATGTGAAGGTGATATATTAGTATCAAACATTTGTTCTTACTTAAGAAATAGCTTTTTTGTGAAATGTAGTAAATTGCTATATATATATATATATATATATATATATATATGTATATATGTATATTGTCTTAATAATCTTACTACTCACTTATAAATGTGAGAATATATTAGGCTAGGCTTTATCAAGTTTGAGTCTACCCTTCTTGAGTTTATTTTTTTACGCAACAATATAGGTTATATTTGTAGGTTTTGTTTGGCTTAAATGTCTTATTTGCATTCGAACCAAAAATAGACAAGTTTGTTTGAAAGAGACCAATAATCATTCTTAGTCGGAGATATTTGTTGTGAATTTTAATTATTTAAAAAGTTTTCAACCAATGAACAAGTGTACCTGTCAATAGTAGAAAAATGGAGTATTTGAGACTTCTTACAAAAACTATGTACAAGTACTTACTTCTATCGATCTTTAGATATTAATAAATTTAAAGATTGAGAATGTTTGTATTAAAATAATTTAAAATTAAAAGAAAGCAAAAAAAATAAATAGAAAAAATAAAAAATAATTTATATGGATTAAAACTTGAGCTTGGATTTCTTTTAATGATTACATGTATGTTTCTCAATTTAATTTCATTCAATTATGTTAGAATATTCTTTATATCTAATAAATTATTACTACTATTCAATGATTATGTGGTAATAATAGTCTTTTTATCTATATATTATTGTAATAATTATAGATAAAAACAAATAAAATAAGAGCATTAAAAAATATTTATTTAATTAATTAATTCCCTTAACTCATAAACTTATATTATCTTTTAATTCTATTAACTTATTAATGGTGTGATCTTCTATTAATTAGTTAATTAAAGTTAACCCTTGAGTGATGAATTTAAGAATATAAATAATAACAAAGAGACATTTTCAATCCTCAACTAACAATAATTGCATAATTTAGAAGTCATTCCTTATTCTATTAAATCATATGCTATGTTTACAGACTTTTATGTATATGTGTAAAATAAATAAATAAAATATAATTTTATGACATCAAGTAGATGACTTGATTATAAGATTTTACTTAATACTATTTTTATGATATCTTTATAAAATATTGATATCATCATAACAAAATATGTTAAGATTAGTGTATGAGTGGCTTGATGATCAAATCTCACAAATCATGCATATGCAATATCTAGTCTTTTCATAAGTAAATATTAAGAGTATTGATGCACCTACTATGAGAATGTTAAAGTGAATCATTATATGAGTGTCATAATCTATCTCAATGTTATATGATATATGTGATTCTTGGAGGTAAAATCATGACAATTTCTACATAAGGAGCTATATGTTTTACCTCACAAAATATCACATATAACAAGGTGATAATAAAAAAAGTTGAGTATAGAAAAAATGTTGTGAAGAAATATAAATGATTTATATAAAATTTGTTCCTTTTATGTAATAAAAAAAATTATAAGTGCCTTAATAAAGTTAAATAATGAACTGCATGATTATATTCAATAAAATAAATATAGAATATTTATTTGTAAAAAATAAACTCAAGTATTAAAAAAATAAAATTAGATTATATAAAGTAACACATTTAATGTTTTATATTCAATTAGATATTCATACAAAAGGTTTGCCTATGCTGGTTGACAGCTATTAACTTTTACTTGGTTACTCACGTCGACATGAAAATGAAGATCAACAACATCGAAATGTTTGCCTATGCTTATCACTATTTTCATCGGAAGGGGACTTTCACGATAGCTTGAAAGAATGCTTAAATCGGATACATACTAATATTATATGTATATCTTCCAGGGATAATACATGTAACTTTATTAAAAAGAAAAAATTCTCCAATAATAATTTTATTATATGTGAATATGTGATATTATAACACTAGATGAATATGAAAAAAAATTATTCAATCCTCTTAAATTTCAAGGCATCTAAACGTTCACCTTTTCAAAAAAATAAATTACATTATGGATCAAAATACGTTAAATTAAATATTTATTTAATTAATTAATTTAAAAATTAATGATATGAATTTGATCATACAATTTAGTAAAATAAGTTTTAAAAAATATATTTTATAAATTACATCTACAAATTTATTAAAATAAATAAAAAAATTAAAAATTATTAACATAAGATCTTCCATACTTCTCCGTAAAAAGAAAACTAACGTCAATTTCTAGAGGTGTTTTTCATAAACATATTTTTATTTGGCTAAACACTATCAAATGATTAGTAATTATATACTTTGACTGAAATACTTGATGATTTGATTATTATTAAAGTCAAATTTAAGTCAGTTTATAAAAAATAAATATAAAATTAAATAAATCATCTCTCATAATTTAAAAACAACTTAAATTGATTTATTTTACTATACAATTATAAGTACTCATGAATAAATTTATCTACTGAGCCTAATATAGGAAAAAGAGTAAAGGTAAACCATAAATGTATAAATAAATAAATAATGACATTTAAAGAGAAAATATTGAGTTGACAAATGATGGGTATGTTGGTTAAGAATGGAAGTTAAAGCAGTGGTTGAAGGTTAGAACGGTGCAAAGTGATAGTCAACAATAAGTGAGAGGAGTAGAAGGAAATAAGTGGATGAAGAAAGTGTTAGTGTGTAATTGTCAACAATGGCTGAGTTGGTTAAGATGGCACTGTTAATAGGACCAAACAGTACCAATAACACTTGGAAGATAAAGTGTGTGAGGAAGAGGGTGATAGAGTGGCAATGTTAAAGGATGAAAATAATGGAGAATGCAGATTCCAAAAGGAAACAGAGGCTGAAAAATAATGGTGACAATACATTTGGATTGTCACCCACCTGTCTTGATTAGGAAGCGTTGCAAGTCTTGTCAAATTCTTCATCTTTTTTAATTTATTCACTGTTAGGAAAATTCATAAACATGACAGCAAGTTTCAAGTACCTCTTAATTATAATTTAATTTTTATGTATACATAATTTAGGTGAAAAATATGTTAACATTAATTACAAACTTTTGGTTTGGTTTAATTTGATTTTGTTGTCACTTTAACATGCTATTCAATTACACCTCTAATAAAATCTCTTTTATTATTGACACATGGTATTTTTAAACGAAACACTGATTTTTAGGGTTGATATGCTACTTGTGATCATCTAATTGAAATCCTCATAAATTTCTTAATTTATTCACTTTTATAATTTTTTTTTTGTTTTACATTTTTATATTTCGTATTCGTCAAAACTATTCGCTTCTCATGTTTTACTCTATTTTAAACTGTTGGCATTCATTTTCCAAAAGAAAAAAAAAAACGAATACAAACTTAATTTTATGTTGTACTTTTTTTTTCTATTAGAGCTCAAATATGAAGCAACAAAAGAGAATTTGATTTTTCTTTTCAGAAAATTGATTTTGTTACAATTGGTAAATTCTAATATATATATATTTTGTTACGTATTCAAAAATATTTATTCTTACTCGTAGTTTGAATAAAACCATAAATGATAAAATTATGTCAAAACCACTAATCCATACTGTTTTTAGGATAATTTGTTTATAGAATTTTTTTTTCGGTTTCTAAGTTTAGGTTTCATATGTAAAAAATGTTTACAGTTTATAAATTTAAATTACGAATATTTTTAATTTAAGTTTCTTCAAAATATTAAATACTGTTAAATTCATTAAACTTTATTGCTATTTCATTATAAATTTTATGCTGATAGATCATTTGTATTTTGTATTTAATATCATGTCATGGACTTTTAAATATTTATGTGAGTCATGTAAATTAAATTGTATCAATTTAAATATTGAAATATTGTCTTATATTTAAAGCAAAATCAATCTTTTAGATAAATTTGTGAATATAAAATATTTTGAAAATGTTAAAGTATTATTCTTTTAAACTCTGCCAAAAGAATTTAAATTACTACGACAGAGTATCAGAGATTTAAAAAAAAGACAAAAAAGTAATATGAAATCGTATGAAGAAAAAGAACTGATTCCCCATAGATCCATACGGGCAAACGTTAGCAAGGGATAGATGTTTTATTTGGGATACTTTGATGCTTTTCATGCAAATCAATTTAAATAAGGTTATATACTGTTAATCTCTGTTCTTAACATGGCTCAAAATATTTTCATGCAATACACAGCTAAAATACTACTTTATATGTATGTTCTACACGGATTTCTTATGTTTTCCTTAGATAAATGTTAGTGAATAACGGTGCTCAAATCTATTAAAATTTCTGTGGTGAGTGTGGTCAATGCTTGCATGATAATTATTAGGTGCAGAACACCTCGTGGTCTTCACTGTCTTAATCAAAATAATGTTAGCGGAAGTTATAGATAATGAATCTTTTTTCCACAACAAACTCCTTAAATTTGTTTATAAATCTTCTCCTTTATTTCTTATTGTATTTTGAGCTCACGAAGTGCATACACTACTTAGAAAAGCCCATGATGATAGAAGAACATATTTATGCTACAAATTTGGAAACCCAGAAAGGATATATATTAAATATTCTTGGAATATATGTCGAATACATTAATTTTGAACATGAGACATAAAAATTTTACCTAGTTAAGAAAGGAAAAGGGCCATCAATTGTTTTTTATTAAACAATATTAGTGTAAATGCACCCTGTTATCTTGTATTTTTTCAAAATGATGGCAAACTTTGTCATGGATTTGAAATGAAATGAAATGTTTCTGCTTGTGAATTTTAATTTAATTTAACTTTTTTCTCTCCCTTTCTCTTGTGTAACAATGTTTGGTCTGTTTTTAAAGCCTTTTATCCTTGACACTTTTTAGACGGTTTCTAGGTATAGGCATCAACAGTACAAAATCTAAATTGATCTTTAAATCCATAGTACAATAGGTTTGGCACTTTCATAATGAGATCTATGAAGTCATTTCAAGCCAAACAAAAAAGGATTTTCAACCTAATTTGCAAGTTTCTTTCTTGATGTATCATATATTTAAGCCCCTTTTAATTAACACGTGTTATGTCACCAAAGTTTGTTTGTAGCTGACAGATTATGAACTAAACAACTAACGTATCCAATGACGTGCTCATTTACTTCATGTCCCACCAATCAAACACTCAAGATTTGCCATTATGAATAAATTCAAGTACAAATACTAGGATGTACATTCTCTAGGACCATATTCATAACAACCTTGTTCAAACAATCAAGGGAAAACAGAAAATTAAGAAAATGCCATGCTTTGTCAATGCTATCCCTGCTTTCTATTCCCTTGACCATAGGCTTGAGATGAAAATAATAATGAAAGACCATATATGTGCTGGGTGTTTCCCTTAGAAAACTGACTTAAAAAAGAGTCCCCAATGTAGAAACTTTTGTATTCACATTGAAAGGTTCATAATAGTTCTTCACCGTTTGTGCTAAAGATAGGATAGGACCCATGAAGATGTCTCACTCACTCAACTACCATCCGAAGCATGGATTCCATTCTCTCTTTATCCCTGCACATGCTGATCAAGTCCAAGTACTTCATAGCATCATGATGTGTGAGCCCTTCAAGAAAGAACTTTAACAACCGGCCATGTGTTACTTGCATCACAACAAAACATTGCTCTAGTGCACTCTCATCTTGCTCTTTGCTCAACCCCACTGCCTCCATTATTGGAAGCAATTCCAAATCCTCTTCCATGAAGTGTTGTTCGCATTGTCCCTACAGACAAGTTAACAAGAAAATGGGGTCAAAGGAATCCAATTCAGACATCAAATGCATCCATGGTTAAAAAGATGCTACTTGTAGTAATGCAAAGATATGGAGCCATTTATTTTAAAGTTGGATAGAATTAGTCTTAATAAAAATAATTTAACCCTTAAATGCAATTGAAATATGTATTCAAATTAATCTCAACCATAAGTTTATATTAGAACGCCGTTTTTCATTAGAAAGTGTAAAAATTAGCTTTTATCAGCAAAAAAACAAGGACACAGCATGTTATAGAAATGGAAAAGAATCCAAACAAGAATATCACAACATAATAATGATTCCTAAGAGTTGGGCATATTACCTGCAATGATTTGAGTCGAGTAGAAAGGTTGTACAAAGTGTCTCTGTAATTGGGGCTGCGTGAGTCTAAAACCTCAACGGATTTGATTATTTCTTTGATGCCATTCATGAGAGGTAGGTCTCTAGCATGTTCCTCCTTTGCAGCTTTAGATAGTCCTGCATTCACCCTCAAAAATCAATTCACCTTCAACGTCACTTCAAAGACAAGTAAACTACTTTTTCTTAACGCCTAAAACGTAGCTACAACTGCCAAAACCACCCATTTTACGTTCTGATTGTTTTTTATTATCTCCCCTTAAAACAATATTCAAATAACCTCGAATGTAACAACATCCATTGCTAGAAGACAAGTGGACTTGCTTGTTTTATAGTTGACACATCAATTTTCGTATTTTTTTAATAAAACTCACATTATAATAAAAACATGTCGTTTAGATTAATTTTTATACATGTATTTAAATTATATTTAACACGAAATTGATTATTTTTTGTACCCACCAAAACAATCAGTTTTATCAAAATTAATTTTACTAAATGCTTAAAAAATAACTTTGAAAACCCTTAAAAAACGAAAGCATGAAAAGAAAAAGCAGCATATGAAAGCTTATATTCTACGCAACTCTGTCACAATATATAGAAACAGCCTTATGATAAATAGTCATATGAAAATTCATGCTTTATTTTAGCATCTAGGTGCTAGGCTTGCCAGTATTTAATTTCAATATTATGCAATAAAAAACTAATTACATATTCACATTAAGGTCAACACCTCAAAATTAGTTAGGAAAACCGATAAATAAACAACATCTTGCAAAAATAATTTATTTATTTTTAACATGAAATTCTATACCTCGATCAGCTCTATCAAAAATAGGAAAAAGGACTCTCTCTTCCATTTGTGCATGTTCCATCATGATTTCCAGCAACTGAGAGTAGCTCCTACCAAATTTCACCACCTCCATCTTCCAAGTCCCCACCTTCGGATCAACGGCTTTCTTTCCGCCACGTGTCGCCAGATCCTCCGCCCACCTCACCATCTTCTCCACGTGCCACGTCATACTCTTATGCTGCAGCCTCGTCACCCTCTCCACTAACGACCCCGTTTCCTCCTCACCCGCACTGCCACTCTCCGCCGCCATCACCGCCGGCGCGATCTCCGCCGGCGCCGACAGTCCGGGGAACTTCGAGTCTATAAACCGAAGCAGCGCGTCGCTGGACCCCAACGCGACTCCAGATCCCAAACGAAGCGTGACCGGGATCTCCGGCATGGATCCTCCACCACGCGCCGCCTCACGCGGCGGTGCCGATGGTGTTCTGGCAGCAGAAACTGTGTCCGACGAAACGGCGTTGTGAAGAAGCGCGAAGCGAGTGTAGACAGCGAGAACACTCTTCGGTGACCCGTGTAACCGGACGGCGGGGTACACGGCGGCGCCGTCGTGGGGTAGAATCTCCGCCGTCAACTTGTCGGACGTGTGTAAGCAGTTTCCCATTAAATAATTAATAAGAAAGAAAGAAAGAAGAAAATTTTGGTGAGGACAAGATTGCAATTAATGCATATTTGCGAAAGGGTGTGAGTGGAAGCAAAGAGAAAAGAGAAGAGAAGAGTGAAAGCTTAGAAACAAAGTGAAAGAGCGAAGGAGAATGGTTTTATTGAAAGGAGGGAGGGAGTGAGTGAGTGTGGGTTAGGTGGCTTGGATGTGAAGCGATGAATCATGAACGTGCATTCATATCAACACTGATACTAAAATCACGTTATCTATCCCACTTGTAATTAATTTATATTTATTAAAAACGATAAAAATTACGTGAATTATATTTCTAATTTAATGACTTTTGTTTATATTTTAATAAATTTTAATCGATAAATATATTTTAAAAAATATTACAGAGGATATTATCATCACTCTTCTTCGTATCAATAGTGTCATGTTGGGTCTGCAGACCTTATTGTCTTATTTTCAACAGTCATTGATATAATAATAATTTTCCATGATAAATCATTTAATGATCAATACTATTTACATATTACTTACGTAATAGATCATTATTATAACTCTTTAAAATTAATATTTTAATTTTTTAGAATTTTAAAAGTTATGTTAATTTTTTTTTTACTTTTTTATCTTTAATAATATATTTATTCTACTAATAGTATATTTTCACGATGGACTTTGTTAGTTTCTAAACATTTAATTCCTCGCATTTAAAGTCTATCGATATAATGTATTTAAAAATACGTTAAAATAAATATAAATAAAAATTCGATAGACAAATTATGGCTAAAAGTAGTTAAATAAATAAAAATTCAAATTTAGAAATAAACATACCAATAATAACAAATGTTTATTTGTTCCGTTGAGGTTACATAAAGATGAGTTTAAAACACTTATAATAAATTAATTAATTGAAGAGTCTACATAAAATTTTTGTCTTATTTTCTTTTTTATTTTAGGTTGTATTAGATTATACGTGTTCGAATAGTAAGGAAAATGTTTTTAAAAATATTGCAGAATTTTAGTATAACAGTTTTTAGGTAAAGTAAAAAAAAATTAAATAACATGTTTATAGAGATAATTAAATTTTTTTTTTTTACCAAACTTAATTTTTTTATAATTATTACACATAATTTTTTATACTTTTTATTTTACTTTGATCATTTTTTATTAATTTCATATTCTTTTAAGTTCTAAATTTCTCTATCTAAATACAACTTTAATTCTATTTTTGTGTTATTTATTAATTTTTAAGTTTTATCTATAAGATTTTAATTTCTAAATTTTTTTATTTTTATTTAATTTGCCTGATATTTATTTATAACAGCTTGTTTTAATATTTTATTTATTACTTTATTTTTAGGATTTTTTTAAAAGAGCTTGTATATATGTTACTAAAATATTAAGGATTAAATTATAAGTATACAAAAACTGATTAAAGAGTTTTTTTTTTTCGGGTCAACAAGAAAAAGGTATCTATGATCAGTTTAAAGAATGGTATTACTAGTCATTCTCAGTGTGTCAGCGACAGAGTTTTCCTGTACCTTTTTGTTTTCTTCTCAACAAATTCTTATTATTTTATAAAATTAAATATTAAATAATAATTAAAATATTTATAACAATACGAGAGTAAAGAAAATAGAATTATTCTAATAAAAAAAAATACAATGGATTGTGGAGAAAGTTTTTCGCAGAACTTTTGTCTAAAGTGATTTACGTAGAACTTTGGAGAAAAATGTAGTTTTTTATTATTATAAAAAATCAACAAAATCATTGGTGAATTTGTATGCGTGTGTATTGTTCGATGCTCCTGGGATTCTCCCTTCAAAGCTAAAAATAGTATTATAAACCTCGTTGAACGTTGTAATTCGTATCATGTCTTGGGTTTTGAATACGACAACATCTTTATGGTGGAAAAGAAATAATAAATGTAACTATTTCAATGCAGTGTCTAGGTTATTGTCATTACAGTTGTTCGAATTTTATTTTTAAAAATTTTTATGCTACTTTTTAAATTCACTGTTATTTCTTTTTTTAAATTCAATTTAAATAAATTTATTGAAAATATTATATGATAAAATATGAAAATTTGTAGAGAATTACATAAATATAAAATTTCAAAATCGTCATTCACAATTTTAAATAAAATAAATTAATTTTATCTTAATATTTTAAAATCCGTCAAAATAGTTCATAAACTAAATAAAACGTTATTTTAATTTTTCATGTAATAATTAATCTTGACAATTTATTAAAATAATATATAATATAAATAAAATGTCATTTTAGTATTCAACTCATGCAGTCATTATCATTACTTAAATATTAATTATTCTAACAAATATTATAACTTGACATGTTAAGTGTCATATAAACATTATAATGTAAAGAATATTTAATCAATTAATTTAATTTTCGTAAAATTTTAAGTTTAGATATTATTTAGAAGCTAAATTAACAAATTTAAAAAAATAAATTTCAAGATATAACACTTTATTATGTTATCATTAAATGATTAACAAACAATTAACATGATAAGTTAGTTAGTTGGTGTTTAGAAAAAAAAAAAGTCAGTTTGTTGGTCAGAACAGTTAATATATTAGTGATAATAAATATTAAAATAATTAATTATATATATTAAAGACTAAAATAATTTATGATTATTTGTATTAAAAACTAAAATGATATTTTGTTTAGATTATGAATTATTTTGATGAATTCTTGAAACTATAAAAAATTTTAAATTAAATGAGAAAAATTGCATATGTTGAAGATTAGAATGATGTTTTACTTAGTTTAGTAATTATTTTGATAGATTTTAGAAATAATAGAGACTAAATTGATAGTTTAATTTAATTTTTTCAACATTTCATATTTCATTATATATTATTTTTAAATACTATATAAAAATTAACTTTATTTTTTTCTTAATTATATTTTTAAATTATTGTTTCCTTGATTTAAGTACAATTTTAAAATTTTAACTTTTTATGAGCTAATTAATTTTTTAAAATCAATTTTTTATTTTGGTGATTTTATTCACTTAAACATTTCAAATTATTATTTTCTGTCCAAATATTTAAAGAATTTATTATAAATTTATTATATAAAATAATTTTAAATATTTTAAAATTTAATAAATTTTTTATGAAATTTGAAGAATTTTTTAAGATGTGTAAATAGAATTTTGAAGAATAATTTTTTTTATAGTTGGATTGGTATGTTTAAGGAAAAGTGTTTTTAAAATAATTAAACTAATTTAATTTAGTAAACTCTTAAGAAAAATGTGAGAATTTAGATATTTTAAATAAAAAAATTAATAAAAAGATTAAAATTTGTATAATTAAAAAAAAACACTTAAGAGAATCAAAATTAAACTAAAAGTGATAAAAGTATAATGAAGCCTATTTTTTTGGATAGTATATATATATATATATATATATATATATATATATATATATATATATATATATATATATAGAGAGAGAGAGAGAGAGAGAGAAATCTTCTTATACTAGTATAAGTCTAAAAATTTTTACACTTAATCTAAATTTTTCATTTAACGAGTTATAATTTATTATTTTACTGGCATTTAGATTTAAGTTAAATAAAAAAACTCAAATTAAATATAAGAGTTTTTAGACTTATAGTGGTGTAAGAAGATATTATATATATATATATATATATATATATATATAATTGTAATGTTACAATTTGGTTAGTAACTTTTTTAATATCATATACAATAAATAAACATTATATTGCATGAAGGTATTAAATAATTGTTTTTAAAGTATTACATATAACTTTAACGATTAAATAAAAAAAAATAAGTCATGATGAATTATTGTGTGCTTAAGATATGTGTTTATGTTAAAATATTTTGTTAATATTTTAACAAATGTTAAATTAGACAAAAAAGAAATTTATTTTATTTTTATGTCTAATTTTGTGCGACAACTATGAAAACTAAATCTTTGTAGATATATTATGCATGACTTTTTTTTATAATGAAAAAAAAGCAAAATAATAATAATAATAATAATTATTATTATTATTATTATTATTATTGTTATTATTATTATTATTATACTCTTCCTAATTCAAACAAAATTGTTTCGAATAAAAAAAATATATGTAAGATAAAAAAAAAAGAAGAATACAAGATAAAATAATCACATTCACTCTAAAATTGCTAATCTAAGTTAAAAGTCAATTATAAATCATTTTTTACCATAAAGATAAGATAGACAAAAACTTTGAATGATTTTAATCTTGATTGATTGCCTAATAGGCAGGCTGTAATAATCCTTAATAGATTTAAGTATATATAACTATGTCAATTGGATTTTGTTTGGAGTATTTTATTTATTATTAATATTTATAATCAATTATGGAAGGTAATTGTTTGGTAGGTTTTGTTTACCATTTAATCAATTATGGTTATCTCTTAGAAGTTTCAAAAATACAATAATTAATATTCATGTCTTTTTAATAATTATATCAGTTAGAACTCATTTAAGATAATTAATTATGCACTGATTTAGAAGATTATATAAGTTGAAATCTCAAAATAACCTCTTAACTAACTTTTAAACTAAGTCATAGTTATTGCTTTTAAATTAAAAGATACATTAGTCCTTTATAATTGAACTCAATAAATCATTTAAGATTGAAAAAACTCAAACTTCATAAAAATACATAAAATACAAGATTTAAAAAAATCAAACATAATTGTATTAAAATGTGTGCATATTTTCTCATAAATTTCACACCATAAGTTTCTATCTTTAGTTCTTAAGAATTATAATGCTTCAATTTATTTGTAATTACATTAAATGTGAAAAATCATTCTTGATTTATTAAAGTTATTATACAAAATTGTTGAAATATTACTTTATTATTTGACATTAAAATTTGTTTTTACATCAAAAGACAAATTTTTATTTTGTTTATAAAAATTTAAAAAATTGAAGTTTTAGGGTGAAGTCAATGTAACTCTCTCTTTTTTAGTCAAAGAGGTTTGTTGAATAATATATTTATTTATTTTAATATAAGGTCTTTTTTACATATAATATAAATATTTTTTTATCTAAATAAATACCCTTAATATGAGCATGTGGGTGCATGCACACGCACACACACACATAA